TATATAGTTAGTCGTTTTGAATTTTCTTGATTTTTTTCTTTCTTTTCTTTTCTACTGTAGGCCTCTGAATTCGGCCACCAAGTATTGTTGATAGTTGGCGGCAGAGGCGGAAGACGGATGTCGCTGTTGCGAGTGCTGAGGTGCCACTTGGTAGTGAACTCGGCTATCTCATTCTTGATGTTGACTGGTCGTCAGGCCAGGATGTGACTCGTAAGCGTGGACATGAGGGAACGCCACTCCTGGCGGAGGAGGGACTTGAAGGATGTGATGCACACCAAGCTGAGCTTGGCCAACGGGGCCTCCTTGTTGCCAAAGAGGTGGTTGGCGATGTAGTGCCAGAGGTAGTTGACGATGATTGCCATGAGGTGGATGAATGGAAGGTTGGGGCGACGAGACTTCGTGGAGATGTCYAGTRCTTTGATGTTCCATTCTCTGACGTTGATACCAGAGCGTTGCTTCACCAAGTCTAAGGCTGGGCGCATGGCTTCTTGGGTCGCCACTTTGTTGCAGTCAAAGAAGAAGTGATTGTAGGGTTGGTCTGTGCAGGATTTGCCACAGAGAGTGCAATCATCGTCTGCTCTCATGTGATTGATAGGGAGGGTATGGGAGAAGAACCTGAAGAGGGCGTTGCGTGAAGAAGGTCCTCTCAGGGTGCTGATGACCTTGAAGATGTCTGGGAGCTTGAGGCCGTGGAAGACACTGAGCTGCCATTGACCCTCGGTCAGTCTGTTTGAGCCATACTTTGCCTTCCAGAGGATGGCATAGATGTCTTTCAGACTGAGGGTGATACCATTATTGTCCAAGAGTGGTACCTTGTTTTTATGGCTGGAGAGGTGGGCAGAGCGGAACTCCATCCAAGGTGTGTGGAACTTGAGGAAGAGACCAGTGAACTTGCCGCCCAGGCGCTTCCTGGCGTTGCGGTGTTGAGTTCTCCACGAGTCCAGGTAGCCATGGGTGAGGTGGGCTGGGGTGCCAAGTTTTTTTTTTTTTTTTTTTTAGACTATTTAATGAGGAGGTTTATTATATTGCAAATAAATGGGCGTCATTGAAGAGGCGGGAATGGTTAGTCCTATTTTAGTTTCGTTTTCCTGTTTTTTTTTGTTGATTATGTTTTTTTTGTTGTTGGGAGGGAAGATGGGGTTGGTATCGATGCTGGGGGGTGAACGCGAGTCTTCTTGGGTGCCTTCTTGATTGGGTTGATGGGTGACACCGTGTTGGGCACTCCCGCATGGGGGGGAGTGGCTGGCTCATCACGTCTTCTACGGAGAGAGAGGGGCTTGAAGGTAGCCTTCTGTTCTGGTGGGTCAACAACTTCCTTAGTCGTAGGTGTTGGTGGCTCGTTGGTAGTCGAAGCGACTAATGCGTTTGGATGTGTAGGTGCCTCAGCCGTCAGCTTGTCAAGCAGCATGCCGGATGACTCATCTCGGTCTGAGTCCTCCTCCATTGCGGTGTGAGGAG